AAAATATATACTGTATTATTATTATTATTACTATATTATAATTATGGACACTATATAATATTGTTTAAATTTTTTTTGGGTATTAATGAAATTTACTGAATATTTATTATTAGATTGAGTTTAATTAAAAATAATAATTTCTTTAGGGAACCATTAAAATTAAAAAAAAAATTATATAATTTAAATATATATTAATATCTAAATAATTAAAAACAAATTTTTTTAAAAATAAAATAAATTATGTTAATTATACAGTATATATATATATAAACTCAAAAACATTACTATACTATACAGTACTGATGAATATCACGATTTTTGTGTTAATTAATTGTTTAAAAATTTTTAACAAAAAAATCATATATTAATTGTAAACTCAAAATAATAACTAATTATTTATTATAATATATTTGTTGATGATTTTAATTAAATTACAAATCATTACAAAAAAAATCATTTGAAAAAAAATTAATTGAAAAATTTAAATCAAATAAAAACAATTTTATAAATTTAGAAAATAAATTATTTTAGTAAATAAAATTAAAACTAAATTATTTTTTCCCAATAATGTAGACAATGTATACACACAATAGTGTGTATATAATATAGTAATTAATTAGCAATAAATTAGTTGAGCAAAAATATATATATATAATTTTATAAAATGTTTTTTTTTTCAATTAATAAATTGTACAGTGATTTGTAAATTATTTAATTACTAACTAAACTGATAATATATATTGTAAGCAATTAAATAATTTTTATTTTTCCTATTATTATTATTATTAGCTAATTATTTCTTTTATTAATTAAATACTCAAAAAATATATTTCAATTTACTTAATAGCAAAAATAATAATAATATAGATTTGAAATAATATTATTTAATATATATATTTTATATAAAAAACTAAAATTATATAATATACTAAAATAATATACAGTTAATATAATTTATATATTGATGTCTATTAATCACATATGTAATGTAAAAATAATAGACATCATTGACATAATGAGAAATATAATAAATAATATAATAATAATAAAGAAAAAAATTATATCATATAAAATACAGTATATAAAAAATATTCATATATCATATGATACTGTAATACTAAAAATATTAAAAAATAATAATAATAATAATCATATATTAAATATAATATAATATTATATAATAAAAATATCGATCGCCTATGAATTTTAATACATTTATTGATAAATATATTATTTTCTACTGTATTATTATTATTATTATTTTATATTATATTATATTATTGATATTACGAGTCATTTATTTGTCTAATATGTTTGACTTGAAAACTTAATCATTAAATTAGATTTTTTAATATATATATATATAAGACTTCATAATATATTTAATATTTTACAAACTCTTAATATAATATATAGAAAATCATTATAAAAAACAAAACAAAAAATAAATATTAAAAGCCTTATATTTATTGGTATAAAAACTATATATATATATAAATGATAAGCAATTGTAAGGTTTTTATCAACTTTTTATTATTATTATTATTATTTTATTTTAGTGTTCATTATATATATATATATCTATATCTATTATATAAAGTAAATAACAATAGATTTTACTTATAATATAGTAATATACTTACAATAATAATAGTATTAATAATAAATGTATTTAATCAAAAATTGTTTGTAACATTTATTATATCTTTTAAGTTATTATTATTATTATTATTATTATTATTATATCAGTATATTATATTCAATAGTATAGTACTCTATAGTATATCAATGGATAATAATAATAATAATAATAAACAATTAGTTTATCCATTCAATAGGACACTGATATTATTATTATTATTAAATACAATTTATTGTGAGGTATACTAACTATATATCCCTATATATCATATATATATAGATATATTAATGTCCAGGTCAATTAATATTGTGTGTATATATATATATGTGTGTTATCACACTTGACCTTTAACTTAATAAACAACAACAATAATGGGACAGTTAGACAATCATATAAAATATAGTATAATATAATAATAATAATAAATTTATATATAAGATATGAGTTATATAATCACATATAAAAAAATAGAAATAATAATAACATATATTATATTATGATATACTATATATAAACTTTATATACATATATATACTGTTTATATATGATATTATGCTATTAATTGTTATAAATTTTGTTTTTTTTCTAATAAATTATATATATATTTTTTTGTTTCATACAGTAATTAATTAAACAGTTAATTATATGATTTTTTTTGTTGTATAAATCTTGAAAATAAAATGTGTTTGTATTTCTATTAATATATTTATTTTTAAAAAAAAATCTATATGTATATTATGAAAAAAATATCAAACAAAAAAAAAGTTAGAAAATTTAATAAAATATTTTGCTTTTGTATATACAATATATACATTGCCAACAAAAAAAATCAATTTATAAATTATTATATTTATCTCATAACTGTATCTCTACTGTGAATCAAACAAAAAAAAACAAAAAAAAATATTTAATATTATACCCGTATTATTATAATTTATATATATATATAAAAATAATAATAAATTGATTGTCAAGTTTGTATTACACGCACACATATACACACACACACACACATATACACACACACATACACACACATACATACACACACACACACACACATACACACACACACACACACACACATACACATACATACACATACACACACACACACAGATAAACACACATATATACACACACATGAATAAATAAATATAATATAATAACCTTGCTAAATTAACAAGATTAAAAACTATTGTTTGCGTGTATATATCATATGTACAATATGTATATATATGTGTGTGTTAGTATGTATGTAACTGTTTTATCATTATTAATTTTCTTATTATTATTTTTTTTTTGTACAAAATAATAATAATAATAACATATTATTACTAAAAAAAACAAAAAAAAAATATCACATATGGCTATATATATTGCACTTTCCCACATTGAAATAAAACAAAAAAATTATATATTGTATATAAAGTACACACATAGTATAATATACTATTGATTTTTTATGTGTTTTTTTGTTGTTGTTTTATTATGTATTTATTACAAATCGGATATAATGTCAAACAATTATCACACACATAGACACACACACACATAACATACATACCGATGCTTGTATTAAAAACCGATATATTATATATATATATATTAATATTTATTGAAAAAAAACATTACTAATGTATTAATAAGTAAATATGAATTACAGATTAAATACATAGAGAATTGCTATGTAATATATTATCGCATATATATTATATTATATATATATACATCATATATATACAGCATATATATATATACAGCATATATATATACAGCATATATATATATACAGCATATATATATATAGTACAGTATATCTAGTGTTAGCTAGGAAAGTATGTTTTTTGTTGTTGTTGTTGGTATATATATATCAATAATAAAAACAACTAAACATACCTAACTAAACATGAAAGATAACTAACATTTTTGAAAAAATAAATAATTAAAAATACTGGACACACACATAACATACATACCAATGCATATATTGAAAATTCAATATATTATATACAGTATATTAATACAGTATTTATTTTTTTTTTAAATACTAATGTATTAATAAGTAATACAATAATAAATTACAGATTAAATACATAGAGAATCGCTAATAACTGTATGTATTATATTATCGCATATTTATATATATATATATATATATATATATATATATATATACAGTATATCTAGTTTTAGTTAGGAAAGTATGTTTTTTTTGTTGTTGTTGTTGGTATATATAAAAGGGGTTTTCATTAATCTCCGGCACGCGGTTTTTGCTATAATTCTTAAACGGAGTGAGATATATTAATTTTGTAAAAAGTGTTTTAAAAAGTGATTTACGCGTGATAATATAAAATTAAAAATTTTTAATTTTGATCATGTGATCATATTTATTCTTGGATGTTTGCAAACCACTATGTCAGAATCTAACCTATAAATGTTAGAATAAATTTTCAATAGCATATTTGTAAAGCTTAAATTGAAAATTTATGGGAAGAAAAAATTTTTGAAATTGGTCGGAAAATAAATTTTTTATGGCTTTTCAAACATGTGGAAAAACACATTATAAGAAAAAGTAAAAAATAATATGACGTTATTTATGGACAGTAGACTCTTATTAGATAAAGATTTTAATACTATAACTTATTCTAAAAACAAAATTTTTTTATGTCGAATATTTTTTTAGATAATCAAATTTAATTAAAAATTATATTATCGAATTACAATGTTGTGTTTTTTATTTTAATTTGATTATCTAAAAAAATATTTGACATAAAAATTTTTTTTTATTAGAATAAGTAATAGTATTAAAATCTTTATCTAATAAGTGTCTACTGTCCATAAATAGTTTTACAAAATTAATATATCTCACTCCGTTTAAGAATTATAGCAAAAACCGCGTGCCGGAGATTAATGAAAACCCCTTTTATAATATATTATATATATAACAATAACAACAACAAAACATACTTTCCCTAACTAAACATCAGAGATAACTAACATTTTTGAAAAAAAATAAATAATTAAAAATACTGGACACACACATACATACACACATACATACACACACACATACATACATACACACACACATACATACATACACACACACATACATACACACATACATACACACACATACATACACACATACATACACACATACACACATACACACATACATACACACACACACATACATACACACATACATACACACACACATACATACACACATACATACACACATACATACACACACATACATACACACATACATACACACATACACACATACACACATACATACACACACACACATACATACACACACACACACATAAACACATTTACATACCTTTATGATGCATTTTGATTAGTCGGGTGCCGTGTCTATTGTTATAGATGACAGCTGCCGATGCATTAGTATTGGCAATATGTTTAAGTTTGACTGAATCCCGACAGTTGCCGTACTGGGCCAACGCTATCCACGGCTCCGACGGTATAGTATCGGTATCTATTGGATCGCAAGCGTCGTGCGTTTGCCGCTGATTGCTGGACACGTGTACTGTCAATGTGGGTAGAGGGGACAGGTAGATAAAAAATTAGGTTAGTTAGTTAGACATTTATGCATACAATTAATGATAATAAATTATATATATATATATATATATATATATATATATATATATATATATATATATATATATGTAGATAAAAATAATAAATACTAATAATATACAATATATATATATTTGTTATTTAAATATTTTATATATTTTAATACTATTGGGAAATATATTAAACGTTTTACAAGTTTTTTTTATTACTATTGAATATTTATTTTTATTAGTTTATTATTATTATTATTATTATTAATATTTATTATATTATAATAATATTATTATTAGTATTTAAGAGGAAAATGTCAAGTAATATACAGTATAAATATATATATTTTTCCCCTATTGTTAGCTAAACACTAATATATCAATTAAATTAACTAATTAATTAACTAATATTATTATTATTATCATAATTAGTAAATTGCTTATAAAAGTAAATAAAAAAACTTAATATTATTATTATTGCTAATAACTAATAATACAATTTATTTATATATATATATATTATAATTAATTAATCAATTATTTTTAGTGTATTAATATATATATATATATAAATATATGATTTAGATATCTTACAATTATAATTATATATAAATTACTATTTTAATTCATCTCAATATATCTCTATATATATATTATTTGTAATATTATTTGTAATATTATTTGTAATATTATTTGTAATATTATTAATGATATATTTTATATTATATATAAATATATATATATATATATATATATATATATATATATATATATATATATATATATATATATATATATATATATATATATATATATATTGTATATTAGTGACAGTGAATCGGAAAATAATGTATAATTAATGGAAACACATTATACATGATATCTAATAATAATAATAATAATAATAATAAAATAAAAAAATAAAATTATGTGCTAATGTGTGCCATTAATTTTTATGTCATATATTATTATTATAATACTGTAATATTATATATACTGTATATATATATCTTATGATATGATAAAACAAAAAAAAACATATAAATAGTTGTATAAAAAAAATACATGCATTTTGATGTTATTTTTCATAAGAAAAAAAACCTAATAATAATAATAATAATAATAATATTATAATTTATTTTCTTGTTGAACATAATTTTTTTTTTTGCTGCTAAATGTATAATACAAATGTGATGCACAGTATGATAAATAGGTAGACCCTTAAGGGGAGGGGAGGGGGAGGGGGGACCAGGATGTGTGTGTGTGTGTGTGTATGTAATGATGATTATTAAAATGAAATAATAATAAACGAGTTTTTTTTTAAATAATAATTTATTAAAAAAAAATTTACTATACTATACATTCACAGTATATATTAACTTATAATTTTAGTAAAAATAAAATAATTTTAAATTGTTTAAAAAGATTTTTTCTTATGATACTCAAAATAAAAATTAAAAAAATATTTTTTTTTAATTTGTGTGTGTGTGTGTGTTTAGCACCGGTAGGCTAAATTTTTTTTTATATACAGGAGCACCTAATCGATAGAAACTTTATTTAAACTTATATATACAGTATATATATACCGGTATATAACAAGTTATATAAACTAAATCAATGAATGGGGAAAAATACAGTATATTTTATATATATATAACTAATATATATATTATATATATATAGAGAGAAGCACTTAAGTATAATTACAAAAATAAAACTATACTATTATTAAATAAACTCATTTAATCACTTATATATATATATATATATATATATATATAGTTTAGTGTAATATAATTTATTATATATAAGTACAAAGTTAAGTTAAGTTACAAATAAAATATAAATAAAATAATAATTATTTAATGAGGGTAAAAATAATTATAATAAAAATAATAATAATTATAATAATAATAGTAATTTTTAAAAAGTATTTTTTTTAAGTAATACTATAATATTATTAATTGATAGCTTGATTTAAATTATTCACAAATAAAATTATTTATAATACAGTATAATATTACAAGTATAATAATTATTACCTATATTAAAGTATAATTTACGTTGATAAAATAAAAATACTGAGAAATATATATATAATTTTATAAATATTTTAATTATATATATATATATATATATATATATATATATAGAGAGAGAGAGAGAGAGAGCAAATATAAAGAGTAAAAATGTCAATATCTATAATAGTTAAAAACTACTGTATCTTAAACTCCCTGAGCTATCACTCACTCACTCACTCATTTACTCACTCACTTACTCACTAACTTACTCACTAACTTACTCACTCAATATATTTATAAACTTTATTTTAATTATTACTATTATTAAAAAAATAATAATTATTATTATTATTTCTGAGAAATATTTTTTAAATTAAATGTAAATTATAATTTTTCTAACAAAATAAATAAATAACATTATATTAAAAAAAATCATATTTTTTTAAATCAATTAATTATATATATTTTAAGGTCTACTGTCTGTCCATTCATTCAATGGACAGACAGTCAGTTATTACATACCCATACGTCCACTAACTGAGCCGATCCTACCGATCGAGTATTTCCCGTACTCTTCGTACTCTGTATGCTGGACACCGGTCACAGGGTCAGTATAGGTCAGATTGATGATGGCCAGTGTAAAGTCATCGGTTTCGTAGCCGTAGGTAAAGTCACACAACACACCCACACCCACACCACCACTACCTGACATAGTAGTGGCGGTTAAGTCATCCATAAGCAGCACATTTAGTTGGATAGCCATCACTACATAGACTAGACATTTCAATAATGTTTTTATTATTATCATAATTATTGTTGACTTCATTATTATTTATTATTATTTATTATTATTATATTAACATAATTTAAATATATATTTAAATTGTTGAGAAAAAATATTTTATTTTATTATTATTTTTATTAACAATAAATAATTTATTGGAGAAATAATTTTTATTTATTTTTTATTTTAATATATATATATGTTTTTCGCACAAATTATTATTATTATTATTAATACAGTATTACTTTATTTTTGTTGCTGTTGTTATTAATATAATTATTTCAATTATTATTATTATTGTTGTTTATAGTGTTTTATATATAATAATTTTATTATTATTATTATTATTATTACTGTATTTTAATATTATTATTATATAACTAACAATTGTCCCCAAATATTATTGGATGTTAGCATTTAGGTATACTGTAGTGTATATCTATATATATATATAACATTGAAAATAGAAATAATAAGATAATTAAATAATAATAATAATAATACTAAATAAAGTAAAATAATAATAATTGCTAAATTTAATTTAAGTTGCTTGCTTATATAATATATTTATATATATAATATAAATTAAATATATACTATATATCAATATACAGTAGAATACCGGTATAATAATTTATTGGTATAAATAATTTAATTTCCTTTATATAGTAGTAGTAGTAGTATATATATACTATATATATATATATATATATATATATATATACTGTAAATACATTATATAATAAAATATATTTTAAGTTGCAAATACATTAAAACTAATGGACTCACAATATAGAGACAATTTTTTCTTTATTAAATAATAATAATAAAAAAACGTTATATTATTATCACTAAAAAAAATTATTTAGTAAAAGAAATAAAAATTTCATATTTAAATTGCTTTTTATATAATATAAAAATATTTTCAATCTATTTATATATATACTGTATTGTCTAAAACAAAAAAAAAATGATTTTTTTTAAAATAATAATTTAATTTTATTCAGTAATAATTTTTTTTGTTAGTAATAATAATAATAAAAGTAAATAATAATTGTAACTGAAATCTAATTTATATATTTTTTTCAAAAGATTTTTCAAAATTAGCTATTTTTCAAAGAAAAATAAATGTTTAAAAATTTTATTAATATTATTATTATTATTACAATAATATTTTATAGTATAAAGTAAAAATTTATTTGATAAAATTATTTTACACATAATATATTATATAAAGAGAAAACACATAATATATATATATAAGTATATTATAATGTTTTAAAATATAGTATAAAAATCAATATTATTATTATTATTATGCATTAGACTAAATAAATTGTATTAAAAATTTTGTCTAATTGAATTTTAATTAAATTTAGTTTATTTACCCAAAAAAAAATAAATAATTAAATAAATAATAAATATACCAAACAATAACATAGACTACTAAATGTATAATAAAATAATTAATTTTATGCTAATATACGCTAATTATATTTAACAAACAAACAAAAAACACACACAAACTATAAATATAATAGAGAGACAAATAAAAATATTAGAGACAAAAAAATTAAACAATAATTTAATAATAGATTATTATTACTAAATAGTTTTTTTTTACTTAAATATAATATTATTATAAATATCATACACTACTAGTTATTTTGTTTGTAAGGGAAATACATGCTTACAAATGATAAATATTTTTATTGTTGTTTAATTATTGTTAAACGCAAACAACACACACACACACACACAACTGATTAAAGATAATAGTAATTAACAAACAAACAAAAAAAAACAAGATTTATTAGACATACACACACAAACACATAGACACACAAATACTTACACACATACATACACACACATACATACACACACATACATACACACATACACACATACATCCACACATACACACACATACACACACACACACATTCACACACATATACACATACACACACATACATACATACACTCAAACATACATACATACACACATAGATATTATATTAAAACAAAATGTTGTTTTTTTGCAAATAAATTTATTTTATTTGCATACAATAATCTCTATTGTTTTGGGTTATTTTTGAAGTAATATTAATATAATACTACAACTACTTATAATAATAATAATACTAAGAATAAAAAAATTTTATAAAATAAAAACTAAAAAAAATATATAATCATTGTTTTTAATAGTTGATGTCTATTACACTTATATACTGTTTAAAAAAAATATTTTGCAATATATATATATATATTTAATACTTGGATAATACTGTATAATACAGTAATACAGTACTAAACACTTATGTATTTCAAAATAGCTATTTTTAAACCCTCACAGATGCTTAACATATATATATATATATATATAAATTAATTAATTATTTATTTTTTTTGTTGATGATGGAAGAAAACTTAAGGAAACCTAAATGATATGTTTATTATTAATTTGTTTTGAAAAAAAAATAATAATAATTATAAATAATACTAAAAAACTCACAGTTTTTTTCTGCATACATATTATACACACAAAAAAAATTTCACAAAAAATAAACTGTCTGTCAAAGTGTACGCCAAGTTTTTTTTCAATAATAATATTTAAAAAATTATTATTATTATTATTATTATTATATGATATGATAATACTAAAAGCACTTTATTATTATTTAAAAATATTATATATTTATTTATAAATATTTTTCTAAAGTCTAATTAAATTTTAGTTTAGTTGAGAAATATATAGCTAAAACAAAAAATTATAATTTTTTTTCGTTTTGTTTAGATAAGCACTTTAGGATTTTAATTTTAACAAAAAAAAAAAAACAATTTAAAAATATCTAATCCCTTATATTTTTAATAGAAATTATTTTATATATATATATATATATATATATATAAAAAACAAATGAAAACTTTTTTTGTCATTAAATTTTTTTTTAATAATAATAACTATAATAATAACAATACTGTAATATATTTTTTTGTTTTTGTTTTTTTAATACAAAAATTTTACAGACAATTCACTTCAAAAATATTATTATTATTATTATTATTATTAAAATTATATTCTTTAAAATAATTCCCTATTAGACAGACACCAAAAAAATTAATTATATTTTAAATATATTTTTTTTTCACTGCAATAGTCACCCATAAAAATACAACAAAAAAATTTAGATAATAATACTAATAATAATAATAAACTAAAAAAAGATATCACAATATTTTTTAGATAACACACAATAATAATGATTAAATAATAATAATAATTATTATTATACATACAAATTATATAATTGTTTATACAATCTTTTTTAAAGTCAATGTTTAAATAATAAATTATTTTAAAATAACATTTTTTTGAAATTTATTGATCAAAAGTATTTAATAAATATTTTTTTACACAGTTATATAGTACTGTAAAGTTATTACTGTATATATAATTATGTATATAATAAACACAATTATTATATATATATATATATATTTATAATATTAATATTCTGGTTAAATATATATTTAAATATATCATATGACTATAAAATTATAAACTTTATGTATAAAAGTAATTTTATTTTCATAGCATTTATACAACAAAACAAAAAAACATTTACAGTACACACACACTGCCACACACACACACAAATACATACATATATATATATATACATACACACGCATATACATACATACATACATACACATACACACACACACACACACACACACACACACACACACACACATACACACACAAACACATACACACTTACACACACACATACACACACACATACACACACATACACACACACACACATACACACACACACACACACACACACATACACACACAAACACATACACACWTACACACACACATACACACACACATACACACACATACACACACACACACACATACACACACACACACACACACTATTACATACAATATTAAATACAAGTATTAAACACATGAAAATTGCTTACGACCTTCTCGTTTGTGTAGAAAAAGTCTCTTTTTTATTATATTATATTATATTTCAATGATATAGACGTCAACACACACACACACACACACACACACACATACATACATACAGTATAAAAAAACTACCAGTGCTTATTACATACTGTGCCAATAGATAATGTAAATCAAGGTTTAGAGAGGTAAATCTCAATCATTTATTTATTTTTTTATTTTTTCGGGTATAATATTTATTTCTACCGCAATATATTATATATATATAATCATTCAATGTTATATTTATAGATATAGATATATATCATATATATATATATAATATATATAAAATTGTATAACTAAAGTGACAAAAAATAAATAAAAGATTTATAGTATAGTTAAAAAAATTTTTTTTAGTATACATTAAATATCCAATGATATAATATTAATATAAAATTAGTTATATATTTATATTCATAGATATATATATATATATATGAAACATACAGTTAGTGTGTGTGTGTGTGTGTGTGTGTTAACACCATATGATTATACAAATAAACAATAAGCTTAACAACAACAACAAAAAAGCTGTTTTTATAATACAATTACTTACTGACAGTATATATATATATACAGTATTTTGATATAATATAAGGCATAGGGATATAAATAAATTTAGTTTATATATATAAATATTTATTATTATAATATTTTTAATAATATTAACTGTATTGCAATATATATATTATACCCCAGTTTATACATACATATATCAAATAAGTGATGAACTTCTAGTTAGTTTAGTTAGTTGATGAGGAACTGGATCCAAGTGCTGGCATAAATTTATTTATATTATTATTAATTGTTATAACTTAATAATAAATACATTACATTAGCATTATTATATTTTGTAGTCAAACATTTTATTTATTTATTTAATTTATTTTTGAAAATAAAAATTACACAATATTTTTATACTCTAATATCATATTTTTATATCAAATAAATAT